ACACACACACACACACACACACACACACACACACACACACACACACACACATACACGCGCGCACGCACGCACAGCTCTAGGAGGAAGGGAGTAATACAAGTAAGAGACATAGGAGCCGTCCTCTGAGTCAGAGCTTCAGTGCTGAGGAATGTATCCTGCTGCAGCTTCAACAAAGCACTCCATTTTTTTAAAAAAGGAGGACTGTGGGCGCAACAGTCATTTGATAGGGTGGGTTAGGACAAGTTTGCATCAAGTGCAAAGAAACTGCAACAATACGGGGTTTTAAATGGGTAAAATAAAAAAACAGGAAGAAGATTCGACGATGGGCTCGATGGGAGTCATCTCACCTGGCAGAGATTCCCCGAGAAGCCGGTCAGACACAGGCACTGGAAGCCGTTCACCTCGTCCTGACAGCGGCCGCCRTTCAGGCASGGCGAGCTGGCGCACTCGTCCACGTCCCGCTCGCAGTGCTCGCCCACGAACCCGGGCAGACACGCGCAGCGGTAGCCGTTTACCAAGTCCTGAAAGAGACGAACCGAGGGGTTAAACTGGGGTTAGTCCAGTTTGTTTCAGTCTCATCGATTTATAACAGTGTTGAGCCGTGGCAAAATATTTAAAATCTCATGTTTGCACCCCTTAGTACCAACTACTGCTAACTATTTTACAGAAAATCAGTCAAAAAAAAATGACCATAGCAGTCCTTTAACGTCATGCAGCTGTGTGTTTGATTTACTGTTTGGGATGGGTGGAGTCCAAACAATAACCGTCAACCCAGAGAGGCAAATTAAGAACAACAGAGGGCGGAGCCTGTGTGTGTGTGTGTGTGTGTGTGTGTGTGTGTGTGTGTGTGTGTGTGTGTGTGTGGGGGGTAATATTACAACCCTGGGTTTATTTCAACACATTTTCCCTGGCAACACAATAACGTTTATGGAAATTGAATCTGGAGCGTCGGGGAAACGTGCGTTTCTCTTCCTTGAAAAACCCCCGTGAACTCGCTCCTCTCCAGATCTCGTTTCAGAGAAATTCCACAACATTTCAGCTGCTTGGGTTTTTGGAGAGAAGCGTTTACAGCAGCTATTTATACAACCTCTGTAAAATGTCTCCGGCGTTGAGTGGAATAATAATAATAAAAAAAAAAACTAAGCGGTGGTAAAAACTCTACGGTTTCGGACCCGTCGATYTTACCTTGCAAGTCCCCCCGTTCTGGCACTGATCCTTGCAGTCGTTTACATCTGCACAAGAAATAAACAAACAGAAAAATAAGGATTAGCTCTGAACAGCTTGACTAAACTCTTTTTGAAAAAAAAAAACAAGTCTGTGCTTTGTGTTTCCCATGCTCGGGGCCTTTTAAAAACACRGTTATAGCTGGAGAAGGCGGTGCAGGAGTCGGGATAATGTGGCAGCAAAACGAGTGCAAAACAGAGTGTTGAGCAATCCTGTCGGCTGCCAAACGAAACTGGAGCTGGGATTGTTCTAATCACCACAGCTTTAGCCACACTCTGGTCTTATAATTATACAGCAGACAAATTTACACTGCAGGGAAAGACTGCACAACTGGCTCATTGGGATTTAACATGGACTGACTGAATGGAAATAAAAAGAGAGGCAGGAACTGGACATGTGTGCTGCTCCACAGCTGCAGCTGAAACTCACTGATCTCACAGTTCTGCCCCGACCAACCGGGCAGGCATTCACAGAAGTATCCTCCAATCAGGTTGCGGCAGGAGTTGGCGTTGACGCAGGGCTTGCTGTCGCATTCGTTGGCGTCTAGAATTGGGAAGAGACGGGAGGGGGTTTAGTGGTGTTCACACGAGGGGGAAACTGACGGGGGAACGGGACGGATTGTTTCACCTATCAGACAAGTTTTCCCCATCCACTGGGAGGGACAGTGGCACTTGTAGCCATTCACCAGGTCCTGGCAGGTACCCCCGTGATTGCAGGGGTTCGAGGAGCAGTCGTCGACGTCTGCAAAATGGGAAATGCAATTAATCATTAACTAGCAGCATGTTGTCTGCCTTTCATGACTAATTAAGATGTTATTACAGTTCATTTGGAAAACATTTGGCATAATCTCATGCAATATGAGCTTTTAGGGAACGGTGTCCACCTTTCAGCTCAGCATTGGTAAATTTGAGCCTCATATGGCAATAATTCCATAAATATACATATGATAGACAYGTGATCAATATCAATATAAAAAACGTGTGGGAAATGTAATTGATCGTGGCTGGTATGAAACTTATACCATGGTATATTTTTCACAGGGTTTCTGCAGGTTTCACATATTTTTTAAGACCATTAAGAACGAAATTTGATTCCTATATTACTAAGAAATTTACAAAAATACTCGCCTCTTTAAAGCCAAGTGTTAATTTGCATTTTCCCACGATCTTTTTTTTTTTTTTGCATCCAGTGACGTGGAATGGCCAATAAAATGAAAGCGGATCAGCAGCTGTATAAGTTAAATGTTTGTAGTTGTATATATTCAATAGTGATTTTATTTTGTTAATAATGTGCAATAATACAATAATAATGTGCAATATTTAAACCATGTGCAAGAATGTCGTTTTACTTTCTTCTACTTTAGTTTTACATTTACAGCTGACTCCTATTCTGCTTTTTTTATTGTTTTGTGTGTGTGTGTATGTGTGTGTATATATATATATACACACACCTATGTATATATGCAGATGTATGGGCATATTTTAGCTCATTTTATTTTCTATTTCTTTAATGTGTATTTGCACTGCTGTGGGAGTGGCTCTAATCGTGTTATGCGCGTGTGTAATGACAATAAAGGAATTCTATTCTATTAATAAATAAGTGTTGCAGGAGCTTTTTATTGATTATAGGTAGCGTTACATGGAAAATTAAGACCTCTTTAAAATAATTTATCACTTGAACTCAATAATTCAGTGAATTTTAGTCGTTTTAAGGCCTAAAATTCGGATTTTCGAATTTTAGACTTTTTAAGGACCTGCAGAAACCCKGTTTTCAGCCATGTGCAGCCCTAGTGTTAGTAGGTCTATGTTGGTTCTTACTGATAGTGCAGGAGGGGCCACTCCATCCCGGTGCACACTGACACTCGTAACCCTGACTGGTTTCTGAGCAGCTCCCTCCGTTCGAGCACGGATTGGACAGGCAGGCATGTTCCGCTGAAGGGGAAAAAAAGTCTCGTTAAGTCATGACACTCAGATCCTTCTCTTATTAACCAGGTCAGATCACACATCCAGGGTTTGACTCCTTTCCTCACTCGCTGACAACACATCCTCCCTATCTCACTCTCATTACCCGCCTCGTCAGAGCGCACCACCAGGAAATCATCTTTCACGCTATGTTGACCTGTGCAACGCACCATGGCTCAACCCCCCCAGACTCCCCGCCACTCTCCTGAAAGGCGGCGCATGAAGAGAGAGCGGCGGGAAGAGGGGCGGCTTCGACTCTTCTTTGTGGGAGTGTTAGGGATGAGTGGGTCCCAAATGAATCAGAAATGAATGATTCACTCAAGGAATAATCAGGCAGTTAAGGGTGATCGGTGGATGGTTCTGGTATGCTGGAGGGTGGGGGCGCAGCACTGCAGCCTGGGGCCTCTGGGCTACAATAGCCTGATGTACCCCCCTTTCTGATCAACAGACCTCCGGTTACAAAAGGGGCACCGTTTCCTGACATCCCTGCAGTTAGGCTGTCAGCACCTCGCGAGGTTCGGTTTTAATGAGGAAGAAGCCATCGTCTCCGTGGCTAAGTGTTCACAGCAGCTGAACGTTGGCATCACACCCATCTGGCTCATAAAGGAACAGGGAAAAAAATGGCCGACTGCTGAAGATCAAACTGCTGGATTACCTGACTCGGGGGGGGGGCAACTTACACTCAAGTGGAAACAGATTATTGCGAGTTACCACCTCCTCTGATTACAAACTCAAAGCACCTCTGACCTTCTGTCTGCGAGCTCAGTGAGCCCAGAACTTTCCTACTAATTGTAGCCGGGTTGGAAAAGCCCTTCAATTACTGAAGGAATGCATATCGCCTGCCGCCTTTCAAGCCACAGTTTTAAACTTAGATCGTCTTATGTTGAGAAATGACAACGTTCTAGCTGTTTTAGTTAGATGTTGCTACTGACACACCAAGTTATTACCACCTCACCAAATTTGTTTACAATTGCACCAAGTTATACCAAGTTTTAACCACCACACCAAGTTTTTACTACCACATAAAATGTCTACCATGGCACCAACTGTCTACCAGTGTCTACCATGGCACCAACTGTCTACCATGGCACCAACTGTCTACCATGGCACCAACTGTCTACCGTGGCACCAACTGTCTACCGTGGCACCAACTGTCTACCGTGGCACCAACTGTCTACCGTGGCACCAAGTGTCTACCATGGCACCAAGTGTCTACCATGGCACCAAGTGTCTACCATGGCACCAAGTGTCTACAAGTGTCTACCATGGCACCAAGTGTCTACAAGTGTCTACCATGGCACCAAGTGTCTACAAGTGTCTACCATGGCACCAAGTGTCTACCATGGCACCAAGTGTCTACCATGGCACCAAAACTGACCAGGTTTGTGCTTTACTAATTCAGCTCCCTTCACCTTTCAGCAGCAAACAATAAATACATAAAAAGGTAGAATATAGAGAGTACCTGAGCTGATCATCAGAGCCAAAACCCTTTAAATTTAAAGAGTCTTTTCATTAGTTAGAAGGCGTCAGACTCACCTCTCTGACAGGTAGTTCCAGAATAGCCCTCAGCACAGATACACTGATACTTGTCAGGTCCTGTGTTGATGCATGTCCCTCCATTCAGGCATGGCTGGTGAGTGCCGCAGTAGTTCAGATCTGAARAAGCAGAAATAAAGAAAGTTTAATTTGTGTGTACACAACACTGGGTCGCTCCCAGTGTGACTGAAACTGGAAAAGAAAAAAGGAAGTAAAAAAAATGAACCTTTGTTGCAAAGATGGCCACCCCAGTTGGTTTCACACAGGCACTGCCACGGCTCCACGCAGGTGCCATGAACACAGCCGGGGTGGGGGATGCACTTGTCGCAGTACTGGCCCTGCCAGCCGTACAGACAGCTGTAACACACAAAGCCATTCCATCAGACAGAAACGGGACATAAAACCTCCAACAGTACACACACACACAAACAGCCCGGAACTGCAACAATTACAAAACCAAGTTGTGTGAAGCATAAATAAAGACAGAGAACGCAACGATTTGAAAGCTATTTTTTTTCCACAATTGAAGCATATGAAGGAAAAATACGGTAATTTTGACTTTGATGGCATCGACACATCTCCGAAAAGTTGGGATAAAAAATTCAACAAAGATCCAGAACAGCTAGAACCAGAAAGGCTCCTCAGCTCCTAAATGTGAAACTGATACAATTTCCAAATTTGGAAGTTAGTATGTTTACCATGTTCCACTATGAATAAATAGACTTACATAAATCATTGCATTTTGTTTTTATTTACATTCTACACATATTTTTCTGAGAATAAAAGTTTAAAACAAGGTTGGCTAATCCCCCCCTTTCCCCCCGTTGGCATCTGAAAATCCAAATATCTTAATCTTCCACTTATTTTCAGATTCATCTGGAGCGATAACGGCAGTAATCTGAACCTAACGAACTACACAAGAGCGCATGCAGCTCCGAGCTGCACAAACAAAACAAAGAGGCAGTATTCTGGTTCACACAGCTGGGACGAATCTTTTAAAGACCACAAATGAATTTTAAGCAGCAGCGCGTTTGTGCAAGAGCTTTTTAACAATGCTCGGGCACAAGGAAACAAGAGTATTTAGCATTTCAAACAGAAGATTACAGCTCCGATGGGACCTTTAGCGTGGCTAACATTAGCATGCGACCAGACGCTGCCTTTAACAACACAGTGCCTGCGGCTTGGCAGTGGGGACGTCTCTCTGCAGAGGAGTCTTCAGCTGTTTGACTGCTGCTCATCCTGGTTCCCATGAGTCAGGCCGGTCCAGCTGAAAACAGTCTGCGGACCACTCAAAAGTTCAGCTCCGTAATTGCACTGATAATTCACCCTCTGCTCCATAAATGCACAATCAGGAGTGTTAACTTTTATTTTGTCGATTCTTCTTCTTTTTTTTTTTTTGCATTTATCCAGGTTTTGGTCCAGAAAAAAAGGGCCCAAGTGACCTGCTCCGACTGTAGCTGCAGGTCACTTTGAACGTGCACAATTCAGTCTGGAGAGTTTTGGGACGAGGAAGAGGAATTAAGATACGTGCAAGTCATGTCAGAACCTCGTTTGTTGCTTTTTTGATAGAAAGTTGCTGGTGGGCTCTTAAAAGGCAACAYGAAGGGGTGGGAGGCAGAAGATTTTTAGATGCTTAGCTTTGCAGAAATTCATATTTTGAATCAATTTGTTTTCAAATGGCAAAAACAAATTTGGTGAAGTTGACCTGTTCCTGCACGCCGCAATGCTATTTTATCCTGTAGAGCAGAGGTTCCCGAACTTTTCACCTTTTTGACCCATAAAATGCCAGCAGTAGAGACCTGTGCCCCCAGCTATTGTCGGTTGATAAACATTGTTTTCACGTAAAATAAACAAGCACATAGTAGCATTATTTATTACACTATTTTTGTCCATTTTAAGTACATTAATCTTATTCTTTTGTAACAACAAAGGCAAAAAATATGTTAGTTGTCATTTTTTATTGTAATTAATTCAGAAAATATTTTCAGGACCCCACCTTGATGTTTTCACTTTAGCATTTTTTCTTTACTGAACCCTGAATATTTATGTTAGTAGATAATATTTTAAAGTATTCTGAGTACTGACTTAGAAATATTAGCTTTATGTTTAAATTTCCAGAGATAAAAGTTGATGCTAAGTGATTTTAATTTAGCATCTATGCTAATGGGGACCTTCACTCAGGCTATTTTTAGAACACGAGTCACATGACTATGTCCGCTCGACATTGATGCGTGTACAAACTCTCGTAGCTGCTCCTTTGATTTAATGGAACTACACTGGTTTAACTGTTTACACTTAAATAAGTTCTAGAAAACAGCCTCAAACTCCACCAGGAGGACCACAAAACATCGTGCYACAGTCCTCACAACAGTGACTCAGGATACAGCCATCAACCCAACAAGGAACAAGTATTTTTGATCACCTTTTCCAAGCTAAGATGCTAGGCTAACTGCTGGATCCCAGCGGTTCTATCCCTGCACTTTCTGTTGATAAACAGGCACAGCTACCTTATTGTTACTGTAGCCTACTGCTAGCTTTACTCATAGCATCCATGCTAGCCTCATACAGCGCTCTACTGCAGTCAGTCCAGCATGGTGACAATATTTTACCTACACAGATTCTAAACATCATTAAGTTTCTTTAAACGATGCAGAAGCGGTGCCTCCGGTGATAAACACACACACACAGACACACAAACAGATAATAGATGCAACAAGCTAAGCTAAAAACACCAACCTTTAACAATTCCACTCGCTTCCCAAGTGTGTGGAAGACCTCGACGCTCCAGACAACCTTTTAACTGAACTTTCCTGTGATTCTTAAAGTCAGATGTGTCCAAATTTTCTCTGGAAACATATCTGTTACAGTATAAACACCAACTCTTTGTAGAATCCACTCCGATTGCCTGATCATTTGCGAGCGCAGTGGATAACGTGTGCAAATATGTCACAAGCGAAGGTCCCCATTGTTTGTCAGCAACTTGTAATTAGCAGGAGTTTTTGACATTTGTATTTCTGCACTTTTTATTATGTATAAAAATAAACAAATCTAGTCATTTAAGTTTAACGATAAACAAAGTCCACCATTAATCGGTTCATTAAGCTCGAAATGATTAGTCTGTTAGCAATCAGAGCCGAGTGTCCCACTGGAAAGAGGAGCGAGCTGCAGACAGGCGTCAGACACTGAGTCAGTACCAGAGAAGCTGCCCTCGCCTGCAGCCAGTGTTGCTATGTACAGCTGTTGTTAAACACACTGCAGCAGCCCGACGCTGGGAAAACGGCCGCCCGACTACAAGAGCAAGAGAGTTTGCATGGAGAGGCTGAACTGAGCTTTAAATAAAACCACACCTGTCAGGAGACTACAGCCATTCAACCTCTCGTTCCGCCGCTTGAGCTCTTACAAGAAATCTGATTTAAGTCAGGGGGAAAAAACAACAAAGCTGCAGTTTCACAAAGAACAAACATGATCATCCCTGCGCTTGATTTACGGCCAAATCAGACAACTGAGAGAGCAGCCTCGGCCTGAAACTGTGGGAACAGTTGGACGGAGCGGGGAGGGAGGAGGAGATATGACTTTTAACGACACAATGCACAAGTTCTGATATCCATCTGCACCAGGTTTTTTTTCTTTTTTTGCCCTCCGGCTGTGTGCGGAACAGCTTTAAAAAAGGAAACCATTAACTGCACAAATACACTTAAAGAGCTCATCTGAACGCTGCACAGATTCCACCGATAACGCTCGCCACAGAGGCTCCGCTTTGTTTTCATCGTCTCAGACTAAACCAGAGTTCCACGGACTAAACCAGAGTTCCACGGACTAAACCAGAGTTCCACGGACTAAACCAGAGTTCCACGGACTAAACCAGAGTTCCACGGACTAAACCAGAGTTCCACGGTCACCGAAGGCGTCTAAAGCCAGGAGAACACAAACCGTGCTGCAGCATTCAAAACAGACACTTACTTGCATCCGCCCGGCTCCTTACAGGACCCGTGATCAGCGTTGCAGCCTTGTCGACAGATCGCTAAAAGAAGAAAAGAGATAATTTTTACTGTGAAGTAACCAGGAACAAATTCACTGTGCACACAGCAATTACAGCAAGAAATACAATTAGTGTGTCTGCATAAACAAACGCAGCTGTTCGATAAAAACAACTTTCCTGATCAATCTGTTCAAGCAAATCCATGTTTTGTTCCCTAAAGCAACAATTTTGATGATTTAAAGTGGAATTCTGTGTACAAGTTTGCAAATAATTATCATTATAATTATCTTTCTGATTGTATTTATGAGCTAACGGCTAGAACAAGTGGGACCATGACTAAAGAATTCTTGAAGCAGCTCGTTTATTATGTAATAAATCGTTATTTTGCAGTTTGTCCTCATGTTTTTGTTGTTTTTTTTGCACCCAGATTTAAAAGGTTTCTGCAGAACTTGAGGACAGGATGAGATAAGTTAATGCTGAGGGAAGCAGGGGTGCGTATGGTGCTGCGTTAAAGGGTACATCATGATTTGGTGATATGATGCATATCATGATACGGGGGTCACATTGTGATATGTCGTGATACTGTAAGCGAGGTGATACATTACCACTTTTTTCTTCAAAAGATTCTACTTTTAAAAAACTTTGATTAAATCTGATAAAATCTGATTAAATTCAGTTTATTATCATGCAATCAGAAGGACACTGAACAACATTTGTATTATATATTTCTTCTTAAAAACAGCCAAATGGTTGGTGTGAAAGTTTACATTTTAACCCTTAAACATTGATTCAGTAATTTTAAGAATCAGAAATAAAACATCGCGATATTTCAGTGTATTGATATTTTCTTACACCCCTAATTATGAGTGTTTCATAAATATTAATCCATAATTATTTAAGACAATGTGCAGTTTTTGGTACCAGGAACTTCATATTCGTGAGTCAAACTCGCTCGCAACACAGGTGTGTGGTTAGAACCCTGAACCAGGTGTGCTGCAGCAGGGAAACAGCTAAAACCTGCAGGACAACGTCCCCAAGACCGCATCACACCTTTACTCAGAGTTTCTATAAGTGTAAATAGCCACAGCAGCAGCTAGCTGTAGCATTCCTGATGCAGCCGGGAGACGTTAGGATGTGAAAACCGTAATATTTCTGTTGAAATATCAATGTTTGTATCGAAACTTTGCTCAGACTAGCCTTTAGCTCATCTGAGTAAATTTAAAGCATCTACAACAGGTAAGATATTGCCTGTACATAAACTTTTCAGAGATCTGAGCTATCTAATAAAGCATAAAAACAGTTTTACTTTAAACAGGAATTAAAGCAGAAGCTGTGTTTTTCATGCAGCAGACACTGAATCAGCATGAATCACAGTCTGAAGTCTGCTCCCACCTGCAGCAGAATTTCCCGCTTCAGTGACGTTTTTCCCACTGGGACTCACCGGTGTTGCAGTCAGGTCCAGACCAGCCCTCYAGGCAGGTTTTGTTTCCGTTGAAGTCACACGTGTAATGGCCGAAGAACTCGTCACGGGGCCGACAGAACTTGTTGCAGCCGAAGCCGTAGTAGTGCTCGTCGCAGGTGACCCGGATCTGGTACTCGAACTGGGCGACCCGGCCGTTGCAGCTCAGCTTCTGCCACTGCGGACTGGGGTTGATCATGCCCGAGTGAGAGGACTTCTCTATCAGCTTCCCGTCCGCGCCTAAAACAAGATCGGCAGATGTTAACAGGAGCGAAGCGTTCCAACATCGCGCCTCTGCGTGCCGGGAACCCAAAACTGCCTCAAAAATCCTCACACAAATTGCAGAAGATCTCTAAGATAGCAGATTATATGTAATTAAGGCAACTATGTGTGCTAGAAAGGAGAACGGGAGGGGGAGAAAAAGAAAAAAGCAAAGCAGGAGGAGGAAATGCAAAAAAAAAAGTTACAGGATGCTTTTTAATGAGCACTTTAACTGCTTTTTTTCTCACGCTCCCCGTCCCGCTCGCCTCGCTCGCTCTCTGATCTGAAGCTTTCCAGCTTCGMGGAGAATACTGGTCCGGCTCAGGCGAGGCAAGGCGAGGACAGAACCGCAGCCGCCATAACTTACAGCGCGAGGCTCTGCCTCAGTCGCTGCTGGGAGGCCTGCCAGCAGCAGCACTGAGAGCTGCTTTCTCCAAACTTTGTGTGATCTTTTGGGGAGGATTTTGTCACAAGAATGATAAAAGTTTGACACTTTCTGCACGTCTCTGCGTTTGCACAAATCCAGACCCAGAAGCCGACTCGTTTTCTAGTCAAACCTGGAGGTTAAAGCCGCCTCACGCAAAAGCAAAACTACTCCGACGTCCAAATCTCTCACCTGGGAGAGAATGAAAAAAACGTCAGTCACTATTTACCGAGGCTCACGCGAGCAGAGGTGGCTGACCGCGAGGCGAGTCGCTCCTCTGTGCAGTATGATGCAACGCCGAGCGGGGAGGGGGGAGGAGGTTATTTATTTACAGCGTTCTGGTCCGTGTGTGTAAACGCGGGCTGCGGGTCGGTCGGCGCGCGGCTCCTGAGGTCGCGGGGCCCGGCGGCATTTCGCAGCCGTTTGGGATCCAGAGCTCGAACCGTGTGGCATTTCTCTACCGGCCGCCGGCGTGCCGTGCGAGGAGTAGCAGCGCTGTGCTACCTGCTGCCCGACCCGGAGGAACGCTCGATCAAACACACCTGAAGCTGGGGTCAGGTGGGGGGGCCACGAAATAACTGGGGGTTCGTAGATAATCTCCAGTTTGTGTTTAATCTGATTATAAGCAAAGGTTGTGGATGTYTCTATGATTTCAGGGTCCAAAGCCACTTTTTATCTAAAACTCTTGAGTGGGAATTAAAAAAATAAATACATCAACTTTTTGCATTTTTTTCACCCCTTCTTGAAGTTTTGATTAGCATTTAKAATTTGGTAAAGMTTGTTCTCTGATACWACTGTGTTATGTAAATCTGTTAGCTGTGTATGTCTAAAAATGGCTGAGTTAGCACTCTTTKTTGCATTAGCTTTAGCGGTTAGCTTAATTTGGGATTATGCTGCGTTCCAGTTGTATCGGAACTCGAAATTCTGAAACCGGACTGACGTCAGTTCCGAGCTGATAGCGTTCCAGTTTCAAACATCGGAAAAAGCGTTTCTATTATTTTGCTCTGCAACAATAAAGCGTACAATAACAGTGCTCTACGAGGTATTTTGAGTGTACAAACAGTGTTAAAACATATTTTAACTATCTCTATAAAGCAAGTACGTCTGAGGTAATGTAAAATAAACAACACAGAAGCCGCGTTCGTTTACATGAAAGACTAGCAACGTTAGCGGTTAGCTCGGACAAGCATGCTAGTACRCTACATACATTAAACAAATATAAAACGGGAAAATAAACGAATTACACTCGTTTTTATTCTGCCTCCTCCCTTCTTACTTTCTGTCTGTTAAATAATGGGGATGGTGCTTGTGTACGTTTGATTAMAGCTCAACATTAGCCGTTAGCTTAGAGAAACATGYGCGCAGCAGCCAYGTTGAAATRATGAYGCAACGCATGCTCGGGCTGCTCGGGTATGGTTTGGATGCGCCGATCTCTCGACTCAAAACTACGACTTCAAGGGGTGTTCCAGTTGAAAAATAGACCTCGGAGGCTCGAAGCTACGACCTCCGAGGACAACTGGAACACAGCATTAGCATCAGTAATTGGCACGTGATCATTCATAGCTACTACACAACTAATTTCATCTCAATAGGTTTTAAAATTGCTACATTTTAGCCTTTTAAAGTTATYTGTGGTGATAGAAGAAGATTATTTTCAGCTACTTCAACACTGATCTTCASCTTCGGGTGTCTAAAATTGGCTGAATCATAAATTGGGACTAACATTTAGCATAAAGTTGAGTTTCAACACGAARCTAAAGAGATGCCAGAGCAGGAGGAGGTTAAACACAGAGGACAGTGTTCGTGGGGAGTTCACACCGGAGCCCTAATAGCTCTCTGAGGAGCGGCAAATACAGCAGGTGACCGAAGCCTCGTGGAGCTCCAACAGACAAACAAGCGTTGGGACGAGAGGCTCCGCCCCCATCTGTGGCAGGGATCCCCCCGCTCACAGCTCGGAACAGAGGTTTCAGATTTTCACAAACAGAATGAGTTCTGCTCCGAGCTCACCTGCACCAGGTGGGACTCTAACGAGTCAGATCGTCAASTGAATATAAAGCTTTTCACAGGCTGGAGCCTCCACTCCCCCCCTCCTGCTTCCTAAAACTGAAAGAAAAATCTCTGCTCTGACAGTAACCTGTCAGCAAACTTTAAATAGAAACCTGTGAACCCCGTGGACCCGAAAGGGGGGGCTTCAGGAAGAATAAACTTCCTCTCCTGACCTTCAGCGTAACGTCTCCCTGGTGTGGCTTCGAGGAAGAGAGAGAGGCAGGAAAGAGAGATGGTAGAAAAAATAGAAAGTACTCACCGCTCGTTTCATTGTTGAAATCCCAGGCCTCCACGATCAAAGTGTAGGACCTCTGAGGGAGAAACACACGAGCAGCGTTAGCCTCTCTACTTCCTGTCCAAGCTTTACAAATTAAGATGCTTTCAAACTGTTCATTATATCAGTGCTCGTGCTGGAAGAATGAACCCAGGAAGGACTAGAACTGAATAAGTGCAAACTTTTGGTACACAAACAGGTTTAATATGAAAGTTTTTCCACAGGCTTGTAGAAAACAGAACAGACCGGTCAACTCTATGCAAAGTGCTTAAAGGACACCACTGAGGGTACTTAAAAAACAAAACAAACAAGAAGTCATCCATGTAACAGACTGAGCTGAGAGCCTGTTTAGGTTTCTGCCCCCCCCCATCACCATAAGGCTTTGTCTGGTTCAGGGTCGGTAGCGATCACACCGCTATCAGCTTACACGCTCTGATCTGAGACAACAGGACATGGAGAAAGTGGAGCATCCACCAGGAACGTCAAGAGAGGCATTTTAAATATTCCGCCGTGCCACTGAAGCCCTGTGTGCCGCGATGACTTCATGGTAAACAAACCTGCTCCGAGGAAAACCCCCCTGCTCCTTTTCYCAAAGAACAGAAAAGAGCCATGACTCATTCCTGAAACTTTTTATTTTATTTTGGGGCTTCACCTTGTTTTCTCGGGCATTTAACTTTCCATCTCGCCAGGAGACGCTTGTCTGATCCGCTGCCAGGATTTCACTGCAATCAGGACGACTATTATCAGGAATGCAACAGACTTTTACAGTTTCTTCTGATTCACGACTGGTTGCAGTTGCCCAACGCTGAACTTCGAGTTGAGTCAGTCGTAATGTGATATTTAATCATCTACCAAGTCAGAGTCACAGCTAGTTATTGTAGCAGTCAGAACTAAGAGGCCGCTGGATTCTCTTCAGGCTTTAAGTAGTATCAGGTTAATGCTTTGTCTCCCCCCACACCCCGTGTCCAACACTTGACACAGCTGCAGGAGAGCTTTAGTGTTTTAGCATACTTGCCATTAGAGGATTATGTTTCAAGCCTAAACAACAGCACTCAAACGCATCATCCGGTGGAACTCGGGATCGCTCGCCGCCTCGCGTGTCAAAGTTTTAAACAAAAGATCTCACGCTTGTTAATGTGCTCAAAGTATATCACAAAGAGGACTTTCAGCTACTACCACACCAAATTTTAGCTCATTATTCATAAAGATAGTGTTTTTATGTTTAAGCTGGCTGTGGCAGCCATCTTGGATTGGTGACACCAACAGTAAACCAGCTGTAGATGCACATCGAATGATTAGTTTTATTAAAAYACAACCAGTGGTTCATGAAATATTTTGCTAACAGTTGATCTCAAAGTTGGGGATGACTTTAAGCTACTAAACCAAATTTTAGCTCATTATTTATAAAGATAACAGTTTTTTGTGTGTATTTAAATGTCCATTGACTGTGGCGGCCATCTTGGATTGGTGACTACTACTATTGGCTCTTAATAAAATACAAACAGTAGCTCATGAAATATTTTGCTAACAGTTGATCTCAAAGTTGGAGATGACTTTCAGCTACTAAACCAAACTTTAGCTCATTATTTGTAAAGATAACAGAGTTATAGAGGTTTTTTAAATGTGCACTGACTGTGGCGGCCATCTTGGATTGGTGACTACTATTACCTTTTACTTTGAGAGTTTTAATAAAATACGACCAGTGGCTCATGAAAAATTTTGCCAACAGTTGATCTCAAAGTTCTGATGGTGCTCAAAGTATATTTTTTGAGGATGACCTTCAGCTACCAACACACCAAATTTCAGCTCATTATATATAAAGATAATGGAGCAAAATAGTTTGTGTTTAAGGTGCAGTGACTGCGGCAGCCATCTTGGATTGGTGACTCCAAATGTATATCAGTTCTAGATGTACTTTTAAGAGTTTTAATAAAATACAATATATTTTGCYAACGGTTGATCTCAAAGTTTGCATGTTCTGAAAGTGCTTCAAGTATATTTTGAGGATTTGTTTTTTAAAGTGGATCAGCTGTGGCAGCCATCTTGAATCGGGAAAAACCCATTCTGGCAGCGACACAACAGCCCACCTTTAATAAAAGCAGGGGATGAACAGATGTTAAACGCCTGACTCCGGAGCTCCCTCCACGTCAGCGATGACTAACAAAAATAACTCCCAAACATGTGAGAACCGAGCAGCTCAAGTAGTGACCTCATTTAAAAAAAAAAAAAAAAAAACAGGAACTGTAATGCAAGAACCATTGACCTCATGAGACCTTTTAATATTAATATCATTTCTCCTTTTTTAATTCTTTTAAACTTAAAATAAGCAACCTGACAAGTGATCCGTCCAATCTGTACATTTAGTTTTTGCTTTGTGGAAACCTTTTTGCCGGCAGTTACATCACGAACAGCGATGGATCCCTGCCAACAGGAAACATCAACAGACCCGGTTCACCTGCTGCAAAATAATAATAAAAAATAATAATAAACACGCTCCCGTCAGGAGTGCTGGGACCGCTCGCACGGCGGTAAACTGTTAGGCTGCGGTACGCTGGAAGATAAATGACCCGATTGTTTTGTCTTATTTAACCTGAGCGTTCCCATGTTCTGAGGGCGGCTCAGGTCTTAATGCCCGACGGGCACATCTCCAAAAACACACCCTTCTCGTGTAAGACCGGGACTTGCCTCGACATGGAGCCTACTGCAGCAGTGCTCCAGATTTTACAGAGAAATCATCAGTTTTAGATAGCTGTGCTTATCTCAAAAGGTTGTTCCAGCATTATTAGGATGTAGGAGAGAGAGAGAGAGAGAGAGAGCTATCGCCTGACTCTCGTTCAATAACACTCCATAACTCCTTGGCGCTTATCAGCTCGCCTTGCCACTGCCAGGTTCACTTTTCCCAGGCTCCCAGCTGACTCACTACTTACTTCTCTTTGAACTACAAAGAACACACTCCCTTTCTCTCTTTCTCTCTCTCGCTCACACTCACACACAGACACACACACAACCACACACCCAACTGCAGTAAGTGTGGCCATATGTCTTCTTATCTTTTCCTGGGCAAGCAGACACTGTCCAACAGACAACCAACACAAACGATAAAGATCCTTCCAGTTCAAATCACACTCACTTGCCAAAGAACACTACTGAGTGCTCTCAGAAGGGGAATTTTCCTCAAACACACACACATACACACACACACACACACACACACACCTCCTGCCCTCCAGTGAAATGGAGCCATCTGATGTGCTAGGAAATTTAACAAAAAAAATAAAAAAATAAAAAACTGAGAGCAAAGTCTCATGGAACAAGCAGAAGCCAAAGGTTGACAAGAAAAGGGTGGCAGAGGAAAGAGGTTCCAACAGGGTGGGGGAGCAGAGTTTACTGCCACTTTCTCATCATGCATTCAGACCATTTGTCCAAAACTTCTACAAAACACATAAAACAAATCTGCAGCTTCTTTTTGTTCCCACATTCAACAAAGCCTCACCGATTATTTGCTTTTGATTGATTTGTTTGTCGTGAAAAGGAATGAATAATTTGGCACATTTCTCAGATTTGTCAGTTTGAGTCACGGAAACTTTCAGGAATGATTCAAGTTGTGCTTCGGGGGAAGGAAGGCACCGTTTGGGAGTTCACAAAATGCTGGTGACATTTACAGGTTAAACCCCCCCATTTTGAATTTCAGGTAACCTTTGTGTGAACTTATTAAATAATTAAAAACTATCAACCAGCCTACAGCTGAGGGGGGGGACTGGGGTGGCCAGTTGTTATTTTACAGCTGCCACTCAGAGCCACCCTTTAGAACCGGCCCTGCAGATTAGACTGATCCRTCTGCAAAAAACAAACAGTCGAGTCCAACTGATGTTGACCCTAACCAATGAGTGAAACTGCACAAGTATCAGCCTTTTATTTGCAGGAAAATCCAAACCCAGCCATGAAAACTCATCTCCCACGATCATGTTTGAAGTCAGAGTGGAAGGAATGCATTGTAGGAGAAAAGACGGTTGTTAAGTCAACAGCTTAATAGAAAAAATATCCTGCAGAAGTTTGATGTCAGCCAAGGATTAACTGTTTTAGTTGGCAGAAAAGGTGAGATGCCAAACAAACATGTTTCTGCCCAGACAAAAACACAAACCTGGGACCAGGAATGAAAGCTGTGTTTTCCTCAGTGTTTCTGCGTGGGTCAATCACCATTACTGGAAACAAAAACAAGCCGCTGTTTATCCTAATTAAACACGTTTTAAACGACACGCTTCTGTGCAGCTTGAAAACACGTTGGGAGCGTCGCACTGATGCTGAACCGCATGAACCGCAGTATGAAAAGACAGGGTGAGGTACAAGAGAGAAAACATTTCTCCCCCCTTCTCTTTCACTGGAGTAATCTGCATTTAACTGCCACATCAGAGCTGAATACATAAAACAAACATGTCATTATCCCTGCAGCAGCCAGCAGCAATTATCCCCAGTGGCTGAGCCGACTATTGTTCTCTGACACACCTGATTGGAGTTCTCAGTCTGCGCCGACTTGTCAACAAAATCAATCTCACAGTTATTATCATGTCCCGGCTCGGGGAGACACGGCAGCCCTGTGCACCGAGGAGGAACCACAATTGTGTTGTTGGCTTTAATTAGATGAGAAAAGGAAGTGATCATTTAAAAAAATAAAACATTTGTAGAGTAAAAACAAAACCGTATTCTTTTCCAGGTGGGTAAATTCGCTGAGGTGGTCAAAGAGGGGAAAACTTCAGCATTGCTGAGTCTGTGACAACTGCTTCCTGTTGCTTGCCCTGCGCCGGCTTTACAGCTGCACCGCCTCCATTATGCTCCATAATCCTCCCTGCAGTCAGCGAGGGCGCACCATTGTCCCCCCAACTCGATACACTGCGAGGGGTGAGCAGAGCCCCCCCCACCCCAACCCCAAGTTTCCACGCAAGTCCCGGTCAGCTCGTGTCAAACGAGCAACCTGGTCCAGGCTCTTGCTCCCCCCCCACCTCCCCTCACCTGATCCGAGGACATGTGTGCAGCCTCATTAAGTGCAGCGGTTACCGTGGGTGGCAAGGTTAAAGCCATGAAATGCCTGGGGTCCAACAGAGCGTGACTTAAACAAAGCTCTTGGCCTGGACAAGAGGCCAACTTCATGCAGCTCACAGGAGAGGATGAAGGGAAACGAAGGAGGGAGGTGGGGGGGGGCTCCATGAACTCTGAGTCCCCAACAACCCAATTGCACCACACTGCCATCTGTCCACAGCAGCCAATCAACTGATGAAAAGGACAAAGAGTGATATCATTCCTAACCTGACAATTGTTAATGTGCACTGAAGGAAAGCTCTGCAAGTGAGGGATGAGGGAACATGGGTCCAGGCAGGAAGATCCCAACACTTTCTAGTTTGGAGCGTAAAAAAAATGAGAAGTTTTCAAACTTTGCTTGGGACCAAACTAAATAAGCACAAGGTAAAAAGGTAACAGTCAAATAAATAACTATCAAACTACGTTGCATTCAAATTTAATWAACAAAAAGCATCTTTCGTTAAAAAAACAACAAAAAAAAAAAAAACTAAAACTAAATGCCTCACAGGCCAAAAACCCAAACATGATGAGAAATAACCACAGTTTGTTTCCAAATCCAGAACCCCAGCGTGCACAATGCTGGAGATCACAAAAAGCAGCTCGATTGGAGGTAAAAATAGACTTGATGTAATTGGACACACACATCCCAGCAGCCTTTCAGCTATCAGGCACAGTGGAGGAGTTTGTGGGCCAAGCTGTGGGGCCAGTCAGTCTGTGCAGTCCTGGCTTTCTGGCACCACATGGGAACCAGGCTGCAGCATGGCTAATCACCTCTCTCATTTAATAAAGCCCAACATCCCTGCTTGTCTGCCTCATTTATTCCCTCAGAGAAGGAGATCTGACTCTGAAAGCACATTTTAAACATAAAGAAAAAAAATGTTTCATTTTAATTGTTATGATTAAGAGGTTTTTATTTTTATGGATTTGATTAAAAGTCTGAGCTGAAGAGTTTTAACACCCTGAACCAGCCTGGATGGACAGGTTTAGGCCTGACAGGAGAAAAATACCTGCACCTGGGAAATTACAGCATAATGAGGAAAACTTCTCCACAGAGGACCAAAACTTTCTCTTCACTTTTCTTTCAGGTGACTGACTGGCAGTAATTGCACATAAGTGTCCTGTAAACAGACCCTTTGCTCTGGTTTTATTTAGTGTTTTTTGTGGGGGAGAGATGCCCCCCCTGCACTCACCGGCCAGGCAAAGCTGAAGGGCAAAACTATCCGGGACTTGTCGTTCCTGACAGCGCTCCTGAAAGAAAACGTATTCCCCCCGAGGACGGGCGTAGATCCCATTCCGAAGCTGCAGGGCCCCGCGGCGGAGACCCTGGACTGGTATTCCTTCAGGCAAACTTTAAAAAACGTATCGCACTCGTCCCGTGCGCACTTGGCGTCCGCGCCGCTCCGCGCGCCGTCGCAACACGCGCCGCTCTGCAGCTCCCCGTTGGCGTTGTGCATCGATAAGACCTCGATCTCGAATTGTCCCGACCCGTCCGACACCTGCGGGAGACAGAAAACAAAACGGGGGAGACAAAAGGGAGAGGTATCAGCTTCAGAACCAAGACCCCCGAACCGGGTGACCTCCTCCCCCCCACCCTCTCCACACGTACCTTGAGAAGAGAGCAGAAGAGCAGGAAAAGGGCAGCGAGCGCCGCGCTCCGTCTCAAAATCATCGCTGCTTGTTGCGCCTCGTTGGTTAGGAGAAGTCCGGCCGACACTCGGCACCAGAGCGCTCCTCTGCTTTCAACATGCACGAGTGGAGGAGCGCTTAAATCAGCGGTTAAAGCCCAAAAACAACTGTTCCCGGACAGGGTGAACCCTTAGCTCTTCTTTGTCAGCCTCCACTTGTTGCAGGAGAAAGTTTTTTCTTTTCTTTTTTTTTTTGTTTTCTTCTTTACGCAGGAGCCATGCGGCAGCGGAGCGGAGCGCACAGACTGGAGTCTGAGAGCTGCAGGCTGGCTTCACAAGTTCAGCTGAGGAGGGAGTGCCTCCATATTCATGAGCTCACTCAACCCACCCACTTTCTGATTATTGTCACAATAATCAGAACCTGGAGACTGGCTCCTCTGGCTGAGCTGTGGTGGGAAAAGAAAAAGGAAGGAAAAAAAGGAGAGGATAAGACTCTTTGACCTGAAGTCACACTGATAGCTCTGCCACAAAACCACAAACTTAAAACAAAGTTTTCAGCTCGGCCTCATTTTATTCCCTCCYACCCTTTGGTTGCTTGAACAAATTGTCTTCCTGCTCAATCTTTTCTCATAGAGATAAAGTTTCAAACTGGAATAAAACTTGGAAAATGAAAACTGTCCATCGAACCAAATCTTACAATCTTATCCACCCAAAAAGTTTATATTTTTATTTTATCTTGTCTCGTTTTGAGACTGATGAGCAAGAGAATGTGTTTAGCCTGGAACTTTTCTTTATTTCATTATAAAGTGTTTCACTTAATTTGAGTCTGAATCTTCTCAAATTTCTTAAATTAAGTGTAATAATATTTTATTTTAGCTATTTTTGTCTGGATTTAAGTTTGGAAGTCTTACATGGACAAATCAAACGGTGCAGTTTGAAAGAATTGATTCTGAAAATCCTGAGGTGGCACCAAAACCAAAACCAAAACAGAACTTTAATAGATTAGTTCTTAAGGCTCATATTTAGAATAGAATAGATTTTTATTTCAAAACACACATCAAACAAACAAACAAATAAATGTTTATACATACACATACATGAACATATATATTTGGCAACTTACGAGACCATCTGTACTAAAAAGGTTGAAGTAAAACTTTTATTTTCTACCCCTTTCTCACTGTTCAAAATATTAATAAGTCTTGATTTGTATTGTTGTAAACCTTATTTTACATAAAGAGTTCAATTCAGTTTATTTATATAGCGCCAAGTCACAACATACATTGTCTCAGGGCACTGTACATGAAAATAATAATCTAAAGAAGAAAGCAGCAGATTGTGTTGAATCACTTCATCACAGTCTCCCATCCTGAGCAAACGGTGGAGAGGAGAAACTCCCTGCTAATCAGGAAGAAASCTCCAGCAGAACCAGGCTCAGGATAGGCGGCCATCTGCCTCGACCGGCTGGTTGAGGGACAGGAAAGAGACACAGGTAAACACAGAAGAACTGGTCCAGGTGCACCTTCTTCTAGAAGAAAGACAAAGAAAGAAAAAACATGATAGAAATAATAACAGTAAACATGTAGAAGAGAGACTAAAGACAACAGCAGAGTGAGGAAATGTGCTCAGTTTGTGCTCCAGCAGTCTAAGTCTATAGCAGCAGAAATCAAGAATAATTCAGGAAACCTAAGTCTAACTATAAGATTTATGAAAAAGGAAAGTCTTCAGTCTAATCTTAAAAGTAGACAGAGTGTCAGCTTCACAGACAGAAACTGGAAGTTGGTTCCACAAGAGAGGAGCTTGATAACTGAAAGCTCTGCCTCCCATTCTACCTTTAGAAACTCGAGGATCGAGCTCTCACTTACAGCCAAATTTAGCCATAATAGCTTATTTAACAGCCCAATGTTTTACTTAATTTCTAAATACCATTTAGAGATGAAGTGATTTAGATATGTGTTTTTAACTTTAAGAAGTTCTCAGTAGGGGAAGTAAAAATGCACAAAACTTGGACTGAYGAGGACAAAACTGTCCAGCTAACGGGGGTCCGTGTCACTTCTAAAGGCTGAGTTATAGTCGCACTTTGGGTACGCACCCTCACTATGTTATACTTGACAATATGTTGTAGGATTCTCCAAAAGGACATGTGGCAGAACATTTTTATAACCTGTGAAAATGTAAAAAKGAAAGCAAAATCTAAACAAACTATTTGAATGGTGTTTTGCAGAGTTATAAAAATCCAGAGGCACCTGCCCACACGCAGAGGAGGGGACKCTGCGATTGCATCAATATTGGCGGGAGCTCCCTGACACTCGGTGTGACACGTTAACTACAAACCCAGCTTAAGGTGCAGGTTTGTTCTGGGTAAACAACACACTCGGCTAAATCCACCGAAAACCACACCGAAGCCATTCGTGGTTGTGAACAGCCGAAATGAAACAAGCAAAGAATCGCAAAGATGTTTGTGAAAATAAACCTTTATCTGCTAACAAACGTAAAAAAAAAAAACTGTTACGAAGAATAAATCTCTAGGTTAAAAAGGGGCTGTGGAGCACCGCGTAATGTTTGACCTGCTTTCAGTCACTTCGGTTGTTTCTGYTGGTAAACATCACTTCGGCTGTTTCTCTTTCCGTTTCTTTTGACATAGTAATGACAAAAACACTGAGCTTTACATTTAATATTAAGTAAATTTCTGAAGAGAGTGTGACGAGCGCCGGTGCAGCAGCTGCCCAAAATTCGCCCGCGGGCCACCAGTTGACGGTCGCCGCCTCACATCATTGCCTCGGCTGCAACTTTTCCTGTGACTTCGCCTCACAGACCGAGCTTCTCTACATCTCTGTCGTTACGTAAATCATCTGGACTGAGAAAAGATCTCACATCAAGGCCGGTGGCGAGACAAGGACACATTCTACCAACACGGTATGTGAGACAAACCTTGACTCGACAGCRTGAAATTCTTGCTGAATATCTTAAATATCGTGGGCGTACATTCCAGCAACTAAAAAGCACTTTAAATCTCAGCTTGTTTAAATAAATCTGAATGTTTACGAGCTGTTTAACACTGGGAAACTCCTGTATTTTATTTAGATGTGATCACAGATATGCTGAGGGTGTTGAAGGGCAGCTGTGGCCAGGTGTGTCTCTTCAGGAAGGTAATCTGTGAACTAGATCAGTGACTATAAGCGGTTAGGGAGCCCCTCTCTCTCCTGCCGTTAGTGATTTGTGTGAACCAATTACACAGGTCATTCGATGGGTCACAGTCACAGAAACATGCTTGGAAACCATAGAGAGGAGCAAATCAATCAGTAACTCTGTAAAGTTTCACCGCCGCACTTTAGAGCTTTTTATCAGGGAGTCACACGCTGTAGATGTGCGTTTGCACACGATAAGCAGAAAGTTCTCACTTTTTTTGTTGTTGTGGTTTCTGGTTGAAACAGAGAAGTGGTTATSTTATTCTTAGAGTGATGCAGTTTTATTTGAATCTGCGCCGCCGCTAAAAAAAACTAACAAAGAGAGCACCTACATGTTTAAATCACTGCTGTTAGGTGTTCAAATGTCACACTTCCTGTGGTTGAACCTGGAGATAAAAGACGTGACTTCCTCCCCGCCGGCCCCGGCCTCAGCGCTGATACACATCTCAGGTTTCAGGCCTCGCTGAAACGCTCGCTCTGGGTAATGAGGGTTAATTGGAAAAGTTTTTAACCCTTGGCTAAGTTTCTTTCTTTCTTTTTTTTTTGTACTTTTCCTTGATGGCAAAAGACAAAATTGAGTCTAGACAAGYTGGGTGTGTGTGTCAGAGTCCTGAGTAACCCCATGACCTGCCCAGAGGTGATGCTTGTGTTTAGATGGCAGCAGTTTAGAAAAGTGTTTTTGTTGTTGTTGTTGTTGTTAACATCTGAAATATTTAGAAACTTAAAGTTTCTGTTAAAATGCCTCGAGAACTGAGGGCTAAATGACTTTACTAAAAAAATMTAAAGGTGAGTTGTTAAAGCTAAAATAAGCAGAACACTGGCTAAAAGTGGCAAAAGGCTAGAAGCTAAATGAAGTAAAGCACAAAGTAGCAAATAGTTACCTTTCAGCTAAAAGTAACAAAAGGCTATTTAAAAGTTGAAGGAATACAAGGATAACTAAAAGCTACAAACACCTTATGTCTGGCAAAACTAACTAGAAAAAAATGTTAAGTTAAATGTAGCAAAATGTTAGCCAAAAGAAGCTCCAAACAGCTTCAGGTTAGGCTAGAAGCTAAATTTAGCAAAAGACAAGTTAAAATCAAAACTTTCTTTTCAAGCTGGGTCGCAAAGGATTAGCTAAAAGCACCTTAAGGCTAGCCAAAATACCTGCTAGTTAAAAGTAGCAAAAGTTAGAATCTGAAGTAGTTAAAGGTTAGCTAAAAGCAACATGTGGCTAGACTAACTAGAAGCTAAGAATGACAAAGGCTAATCAAAAGCAAAAGGCTAACAATAAAAAGCAGCAAAACAATTTCTTGAAGCTAAAAGAACTAATGGGCTGTTAAGAATAGAAAAAAGGTTCGATAAAAGCTAAAAGCACATTAAGCTAGCAAAACTACCTACTGGTAGTAACAATGCTAGGTAAATGTAGCAAGAAGTTAGCTAGAATCTAAAGTAGCTAAAGGTTAGCTTAACGYTACAAGCAAATTGAGGCCAGACTAGCCAAAAGATAATTGTAGCAAAAAGTTAGTTAAAAGCAGAAAAACTCTCTTAAAGCTATAAGGGAAACTAAGAGTAGCAAAAGTTTAGCTAATTTCAACACTTAATAAAGCTGATTAAAAGTTTATAAGTATACGTCTAATGTGCTAATAATGCCTGTCTTTCCCCTTTTATTGTGTGTGTTTTAGCATGCTCTATAAGAGACCAGGGGTGGGGGGTTGGGGGGGTCAACTCTGTTTTTAGTAGCGAAATTTAGTTGAAAGCTTAAGTAAATAATGATTAGCTGATAGCTACAATCAACTTGATGATAGACTAGATAAAATGATACTAAAGGGCTCGACACACGGGCAGAGAAAAACTACAGCGATTAACGGCTGTCATCGCAGTCAGGGTGAAACCCGACACACGGGACGCGATAGCGATCGCAGCATTGCGAATCGTGCTCTCAGGTCGCTTGTCTTCACAAAATTTGATTGGTTCTTGACTCTGAAGGCGGGTGTGCATTACGGACGTGTAAACTAAACAAGTCTTGCGATGCTAATGATATTGAAAAACAAACACACRTCAAGATACAGTTTTATGAGGAAAAACTTACCATAAACTTCACCCTGGTGCCAATAAATTCCCAAAAAGCTTTTTAGTAATCACTTGGTAAAAGTGTTAGCTAACGGCAGTGTGTAGCATACTCTCCTCTCATTGGTCAGTCAATGAAACCCTCGCTGATTGGTTGTACGCTAAGCGACAGCGACAAAGTTCAACATTTTTCAACTTTCATATGTCGC